TCCCCATAGAACAGAGGGTTCCCTTCCTAGAAGGGTCTCCTCCCCGTAGAACAGAGGGTTCCTCTCCTAAAAGGGTCTCTCCCTATAGAACAGAGGGTTCCTCTCCTAGAAGGGTCTCTCCCCGTAGAACAGAGGGTTCCTCTCCTAGAAGGGTCTCTCCCTATAGAACAGAGGGTTCCTCTCCTAGAAGGGTCTCTCCCTATAGAACAGAGGGTTCCTCTCCTAGAAGGGTCTCTCCCTATAGAACAGAGGGTTCCTCTCCTAGAAGGGTCTCTCCCCATAGAACAGAGGGTTCCTCTATGAGAAGGGTCTCTACCCGTAGAACAGAGGGTTCCTTTCCTAGAAGGGTCTCTCCCTATAGAACAGAGGGTTCCTTTCCTAGAAGGGTCTCTCCCTATAGAACAGAGGGTTCCTTTCCTAGAAGGGTCTCTACCTATAGAACAGAGGGTTCCTCTCCTAGAAGGGTCTCTCCCCATAGAACAGAGGGTTCCTCTATGAGAAGGGTCTCTACCCGTAGAACAGAGGGTTCCTTTCCTAGAAGGGTCTCTCCCTATAGAACAGAGGGTTCCTTTCCTAGAAGGTCTCCCATGACAGGCATAAATCACACACACGGCAGGAGAGGCACATACAACATAGCTGGGTAGAAGAAGCGTATTGCAAAGGCTGCTTGGAAAAGAGATGCCATTAACCAGTTTACTGCCAGAGATGGGAAGGAGAATCCAGGCACTGCCAGAGCCTAATGGAGGGTGCGGCCGCCATGAGACCTCGGTGTATACGGGGTTAGTCAGACAACACAAGGCGCTGAGTAACTGGACAGGAAGTGTCATCTGTTCCCTTTTGGTGATAATTCTATGATTAGTCCACATTTGTATATAAGAGGCAGAGAGCTCAATGCCATCTCATAACTGATCCAACCTAGAACACGGCATGGCTCATGTACTGTCTCTACTACTCCCAGCAACCAATCAGCATGTCACAGGACGGATTCCTAGGAGGAGTATGCAATCATCGGACATGAGCTCTGCCATTCTCTTCTCTGGACTATCTGACCAATGTGAGCGGCTCCACAGCACAGGAACAAAGATGGCCCCTCTCATATCACACACCGGTGACATGAGAGACCAGCGCAGGAACACACCACAGGCAGATCTATAAATCCTGGCGGCTGTAGGACTATGCGCCTTGTCATGTGATCACATAGGAGAGGGGGATACAGGGCACATAAACATGCTGAGGTCACATGACAGTAAGGAGGAAGACCATGCAGAGGTCACATGACAGTGAGGATGACCATGCCGAGGTCACATGACAGTGAGGATGACCATGATGAGGTCATATGATGGCAGAAGGACAAGATGCTGTCACTAGAACATGCAACTTTGACAAAAGGGGGGGGGCGGCCATGCTGTGGTGACATGACAGGACACCATGGTGAGCAGGAAATCAGAGGACTGGGCTACTCACGGATACATGGACATGGTGGTCATCTTTATGAAGATGTCTCGGCTGGGGCTGTCCGCCGTGTTACACGTGAAGGCTTGAGGTGGAGGCATCTTGTGCTTTTTACAGAAGTCAGCGGGGGAAATGCTGCTCTCCTGCTTCACCTCCGGCAGGTCAGATTTGGCTGCCACGATGAGGCATGGCGTCCGGCTGTCCATGAAGTGTTGCTGTGGAAGGGAGACATCTATTAGTTATGCTGCTTCCTATAAACCTCCATGTGATTCTCAGAGCTGGTCAGGAAGTGAAGCATGGAGTCTGTCCTTTGTAAATGGCTCTTCTTATGTTGTGCTGAGAACCAATACAGAGGAAAGGAAATCCCCAAAAAATGGGCTGGGGGGGGGGGAAAAAAAATACATGCAGCTACACACATAATACAATACATCGGGATTGTCTGACCTTAAACATCCGGGCGCAGTATTCAAAGGACTTGGGGTTGGTGATGTCATACACCAGGCAGACCACGTCACACGCGGTATCGGCAGGAGATAAGCCTTCGCACTCCGTGACATGGTGCAGCTGAAAGATGACAAGGAAGGAGATATGAGAGAAGCATCCACCACACAATGAGATCAGGTCATTACGTGTCCTGCAGGCAAACAGCACCCATACTAAAGCTGTGACATTGTACACGCCACAGGACATGCGAGAGACTTCATACCACCAGAATGAGGGGACGTACCAGCAGATACTTCTCCTGTCCATAAACATAGACCGCGTTCATTGCATAGTACGACTTGTGTTCTGGCCGGATCCTATTCTGTCTCTGTGAGGGGAGAACAGCGTCAGTGACATGCTAAGAGGACACAGCATACGGACCGTGCAAGCTTCATATGACTCGTAGTACACACAATGACATGATGGAGGGAACCCACCATACAGAACAGGAAGGGGTGGGGGGGGGGGGGGGGGGCACGC